AGAGAGAGAGAGAGAGAGAGAGAGAGAGAGAGAGAGAGAGAGAGAGAGAGAGAGTAAGAGAGCCGGATTTTGAAATGTCCCTCGGATCGGTCGGATATCGAAGATGCGAGCACATAGGCGACAGCTAATCGTCTGTACACATTACGTAAGTCTTAGGTAAACCACGGCCAGGCGTTGCCCGCGCGGAAAGATCCTTTTCTATGTTTCGCCGGCGATGTGCTGGTCAATATTATCGAATCGAGCGAGAACCGGTCGCGAACACTCCGGGACGAATTTCATGTCCCGCTTCCCGTAAGTAGGCTAACCGGCCCGTCAGATATCCCCCTTCGAGCACGGCTAACCTACGGAATTCACGCTCTTGACTTTCTCGGCTTGTTTTGCCTCACATTAGTAGAGATCTCCGCTTCCATATGCCGATATCTCTACTCCTATAAATCGAACTCTTCCTATCATCTTTCATCGAGATTCGACGCTAAGCCCACGCTAAGCTCGAAAATCGTGTTCGACGCGCGTTCCTTTCCGAAAAACGGATCGAACGTTTTCCTTTTTTTTTTCACCGAGACGTACGAGATAGTCTTGTTTTGGAACAGCTTCGATAGTTCGTAAAATCTTTTCCACCTCGATCGGTCTCGATTTTCTACACTTTCTAAACGATAAATATTTATAACTTTTGCTGCCCGTTTTTGTACGTCGGATTCTTGCGAAATAAGGAACGCGCGATAGCGCAAGTGCGCACAAAGGTTTAATAAAATTCGTCGCCCGAATAAAATTCAACGACACACATTTCGATGAAATAACTTTCCATAAATTTTCATTTCGTCCGTGATCGTTTATTCGGCACGGGTGTATAAGGTCGCGACGAGAGATACGACGATTCTAATAGAGCCGATCGTTCGACGCGTAACGAGAATCTGTTCATGGTCGCCGGTAAATGCAAATATAAGGTCATTAACACCATGGATTTGCAAGCTCCGTTTCGCAAGCGTCACTCTCACCATAACTCGCGCTCGATAAGGGAGATTTCCTTCATTGACGCACGACGTCTTCGCTTTTGGCATTCCGCTCTCGCGAACGTACCACGTGTGTACGCACGCATAGGAATGCGTGAATAGTTTTCCAATACGATTGTTGTTAAATTACTGCGCACCGCATTCGATGAGCCACCCCGCGATTAACATGAAGGCCTCGCGCGCGTCGGCCTGTTTGAGCCGCGCAATTTATAGCGTCGCGGGTCGTTGAAAATTCGGCATAGAAAGATGTCGATGGATGCCGCAGAATGTAGTTGCATTCGTTCGCACGTACACCGCCGAGCTGCATCCGACGAGACGTCGTTGCCACGCGATGCCTGTCTAAAGCACGATTATTTCTATTTCGGCAAGTTCATCGTCGGTGGTTTGAAATGTCTCGAAAGTAATTTGCATGGCACAACGAACAAATACAACTGACGCTCGGATTGAGCACAAAAATGGACAATTTGGGAAGAGGAGAAACGATTATTCGAGCCTTGCGATTCGTTTTTATAATTACCGATTGTCAACAACTATAAAAAAGACGAGCAGCAAGGCTCGAATAATCGTATATCTTCTTCCCAAATTGTCCATTTTTGTGCACAATCTGAGCGTCGATTAGAGAGAATTTATTGCACTTGATAGCGAAAAGATACGAGAACAATAAAAATATGAACCTGTTTATCGCTGAACGAGGGCGATATCGTTTGGCCTAGAAACGAGCTTCGGCGAGCACCGAAAACGTTTGGAGGCAATATTTTGTTCACAGTCCAGTGTCCACGTTTCTGTGTTTCCCCTTTCAAAAAATGTGAAAGGACGTTCCTATTGTTGCATCGGGACGACCCGACGCATGCCCGCGTACACACGTATTGTTTCTCGCGATTACGAACCGTAAGCGGAGACACCATAAGTCGTTCGGCGTGCCTTTTTTCTCGCTCGAGCGCTGCCCGATCGAGTTCACCAGCTAGTAACTGTAATACGCGTTGGACATTCGCATGTAACATCGACGTTGACAGGCTGTGTTCAACGACGGAACAGTTCTTGGATAGCGATTGCGGTGCCACATCCGTCCGCTTGTTCTTCACGGTTTCGAACGTGGTTCACCCAAGGCCGATGTAATTAGGGGTACTTATTTTTCAAGGACAGGCCGTTCGCGTTGCATCGGCCGCGGGATGCTTTCGCGGACGGTAATCCGGCATTGCCTTCGAGACTCCGCGCAAATGACCACGGAACATGTGCTCGTGACATTTACCAACCTTTGACTGGTTCTAAACGGGCTGCGCGGCGCGTCATTCTTATGCGCTGCGCAATCTCATTCAACCTTTGCTCCCTTTCAGCATATCAATCCGTGCGTATTGCATCGAAGAAGGAACGATCCCGCGGCCGATTTTCGTTGTGCAGAGCTCGCGGATTTAACCGAGACTCTGTTATCCGAAGGTTTATTTTTGTAATAACCCGATACCAATATACAGTAATGTCTCTCTAATTGACGCTCAGATCGACCACAAAAATGGATAATTTAGGAAGAGGAGATACGATTATTCGAGCCTTGCGGCTCGTTTTCATAGCTGTTGACAATCGATAACCATAAAAAANTTCGCGGACGGTAATCCGGCATTGCCTTCGAGACTCCGCGCAAATGACCACGGAACATGTGCTCGTGACATTTACCAACCTTTGACTGGTTCTAAACGGGCTGCGCGGCGCGTCATTCTTATGCGCTGCGCAATCTCATTCAACCTTTGCTCCCTTTCAGCATATCAATCCGTGCGTATTGCATCGAAGAAGGAACGATCCCGCGGCCGATTTTCGTTGTGCAGAGCTCGCGGATTTAACCGAGACTCTGTTATCCGAAGGTTTATTTTTGTAATAACCCGATACCAATATACAGTAATGTCTCTCTAATTGACGCTCAGATCGACCACAAAAATGGATAATTTAGGAAGAGGAGATACGATTATTCGAGCCTTGCGGCTCGTTTTCATAGCTGTTGACAATCGATAACCATAAAAAACGAGCCACAAGGCTCGAACAATCGTATCTCCTCTTCCAAAATTGTCCTTTTTTTTAGACGACCTGAGCG